CCAGGCTGGCCTCGAACTCACAGAGATCCGCCTGCCTCTGCCTCCCGAGTGCTGGGATTAAAGGCATGCGCCACCACTGCCCGGCCATCCAACACTGGTTCTTAAAGACGACCAAAAACTCCACTGCCATCCCAGCTCAGGAGGGTGAAGCAGAGAAGCCAGGTCTCCAGGGTCTGCATAGTTGGCAGTAACAGTAGTGTATTGTGGGTAGCCTTGTGCCAGTCTCTCTGACAGTTCAGGCAAAATAGACAAATCCTTTGGCTCAGTCAGGTGACTTTGACCACCTTTCCTTTGAAACACTGGATCTACCATAAAAACCTCACAAGGAAGAAAAGCTCGGAGACGGCTCCTACTTCAGACGTGCCTCAATGTCAGAAATCAGCATCTTCCCTCACTCCACTCCTGAAAGCCTGGACACACGGGTAGGAGGGTGGCCGGCTGGCCGTGGCTTTCCTCTGGACGTGCCTTCGGTGGTCCCATCATCATGAGTTCCTCAAATCTGGGGGACTTCCTTGGTGAGAAGTCTATCTTCTTCCTGTCTGCATTTGGGATTTTCCTTTTTCACTGTGTAGTTCTTTTTGTTTCTTCTGGTTAGTAATAATAATAATAATAATAGTAATAGTAATAATAATGTATACATATCTGTCTTCAAAAATGGAAAAATTGTAGGCTGTTTTCCACATCTGTGCTTTCCTGGATGACCTTATCTTTTCATTTACTTCCATATTACCTGTTTTCTTTTAAGATAGCTACTTGATACCTGGTTCATTTGTTGAAACTTTTGTTCCTTCGACTTACATGATCATTTTATCTCTAGAAGCTCTATTTGCTTCTCTACATCTTCTGACCTGCTCTTTAGTTATATTCTATCTTCCTGATTTTGCATTCTAAACACAAACTTAAGTCATACTATGAATCAATTTCAGTACCTGGAATTTTACATCTAACAATACTATGGGGATTGTTGTGGGTACATTTTTCATTTCTTTTTTAAATTCATTCTTGTACTTTCTGTGTTTGGACTTTTAAATTCTTGTATTTTAACTGGGGTAGTTCTACTTGGTAGCTCAGAATCACTTTGAACTCATGTCGATCCTGTTTGGGCTTCCTGAGTGCTGTGTGTTTGGAGGGTTTTTTGTTTTGTTTTTTGCTTCAGTGTTCATATTTTGTTAAACTGTATGAATCCTAAAATCTAAAATGTGAAATGTTTGTTGTTATATTCCAGGAAGGACTTCAGGACTTAGCAGGGATCAGCATTGCTTTCAGAACCGCTCGCGCGCGCGCGCACACACACACACACACACACACACACACACACACACACACACACACCACTGTGGTGAAGCAGAAGCCATAGTATGAGGATCAGAAACCCAGAGTAAAAGGCTGGGAGGTGATGAGAGGATTCTGGTGGGTGTATTGAGCAGGATGGTAAGTACTCCCGTGTATCTTTCAAAGATATTTTCAGCTGCTCTTAAAGTGGCACGAAGGAATGAGAGCATTTAAGAACCTATTGCAACAATGGAAGAAGAGGTGGCAGTGGGGAGATGCAGCATGCAGGAGGAGCCAAGTCCTCTCATGGTGGCTAGGTTTTCCTCTGCTCTTGAGCAGTGGCAGAGGTGCCTCTTCAAGGGAGGGATTAAGCATCTTCTTTAATTATTGAAAACCTGAACACTCTTTCCTCAAGTCAGAAGCCAGTGGCTTAGTCATTCACCTCTCCTTCCCTTTCCCTTGCTATTCATGATTACAAACAGCTCACACTGGATCTGATGATTTGCCCAGCCTGGAAGAAACCTCTCTTCTGAAGGGCTTCACAGACACCCCATCCTCTGAGAAAGGACTACATAGGCTAGCCAGCCATGTGCTTATAACAGGAGCAATTAAGAAACTTAATTCCATAAGCAAATACAACCTTTCCAAGTCCAAGTGGATGAATTTATCTTACTGTTTTCTTAAATTTCATCAAATAACTTCCAAGGTCTCGAAAATCCAAAGATGTAAAAAAGGAACTGAGCTCTGTTTGCCAAGCCATGAGGATTAAATAACGACATTCAAAGAGATTTTTGCGCCCTAAGTACTTTTTATTGGTTTTCATGCCATTTAATGTGCAAGATGAAGCAAACAGATGGAAGTGGTGTCAGCATGGGTTACGGTGGCAGTTGTGAGGGACTGGCACTGAGAAGACAGGACAGGGTAATCTATCCCAAGAAGAGACCAAGCTGGTCAATGCAGGGCTCCCAAGCCCAGGTGCTGTCTGTGATACCAGGGAGTCACCAGCTGCTGGGCCTATAAAAGTGCATGGTGGCATTCGTTCACATGCTTCCTGAGCTCTTTGATGTTGATGAAATAAATAATAGGTATGAAATTTCTGTGCCAGTGACAAACTCTGTAAATGAAAATTATTGTTCTCATGGTCCCATCTTGACCACTAAGTCATAAATCAGTATTCCAGTGATTCCTGACAAGCTACGGCAGAACAGCCTCATATCCAGAGCTTTACCCGGATTCCAGATGGGGAGAATCCAGTGGGAGTCACTTGCTGCCAGCAGGTTGGAGTAACAGACCAGAGCATGACAGGTCCCCAGGGATATCCTACCTAGATGCTTCTCCCTATATAGGTAGGGACCCTTGGGGTCCTCTCCTCTACCTCCTTCCCTACAGGGTTTCTAACCTCTATCACCTGCTGTCTCTGGGATAGCTTCTGGGTGCAGCCCTCTCCAAAGAGCCTCTGCCTGGTCTAGCATCTATGAGAACAGGTTTCTAAAGCAGGCCTGTTACAAGTATGCTCTCTCTGTGTTCCCTGGTTCCATCATAGCTCATGGACAGCTTCTACATGTGTTTTCTGCTTTGCTTTCTTCTAGTCTGATTTTATTTTATTTATTCTGGGACTTGAACCCAGGGCATCATGTATAGTCAGCAGGTGCTCCTCTTCTTTGTTTTTTGAGCAGGGTCTCACTTGGCACAAGTCGACCTTAAACTCACTGTGTAGCTGGCCTGGGTTTGAATGCCTCATCATCCTCCTGCCTCCACCTCCCAGGAGCTAGAATTACAATGATGCACCACCATCCCCAGCTATATTCTCATTTTTGAAACTGTTTTCAATGCTGGTTTCTTTTGGGAGCCACACGAAAGTAACTTTGTTGTTGGCACAAATTACTTAGTTCAGTCCCAAATCTCCTAGGTAGCAGTACTCAGCAATCCTCAAAAACACCCCTCAAAGAGGCCGAGGCCCACTAAATGGACTTCTAAAATAGCACCTGTAATCCCGAGCATTTACAAGGCGGCAGACCTCCTACAAGGGAGTAAATATGAAAAAGCGCCTGTCGGGAGGGCTCGAGGCCTGTTCAAATGCTAGGTCGGTGGACAGAAGCAATTTCCTCAGAAAGCTGAAGGCACCAAAGGTTAGATTTGTTAGCATTTCAGTGTTTGCCAAATTCAGCTACTGTGAAGACCACGGATTCCCTGTTTCCCGGCGCTTCAAACTTCACCAGCCCCTAGCTATGACTCTGGGTAGGGTCACTACTTATGTCGCCTACCCCTAGTGCGCCGCCCTTCTCCCCGCACCCCCCACTCCCACTGTCAGGTATAGTTACAGCTGCCAGCCTCGAGTTAGATGGGCGGCTGTTTTGAGGTCGAGGTCTCTGCTTTGGCTATGTGCACACTCAGCGCCCTTGGTCAGTGACCCGGGTCTCGCCACCGTGCGTGAGTGGGAGATGACCAGTAGCTCTGGACCCTGGTGGGTGAACGCCGCTGTGACGGTGAGAAAAGCGGACGCACAGCTTCACCTGGTCCCCCTCCTTTGGTGGTGGATGTTAACGGAACCTATTTGGGAGCTGGGCTTATAGCAGGACCACAATAAAGCTTTAAGAACCTGTACAGTAGAATTCCTGCCGTAATTATGAAGCCTGACTCAGGAAAGAACTGCGACTGCCACCACCCACTGTCGGCACCAAACTCGAAGGCGGCAGCAGCCGGCTCTGGAGCAGGGTGGGCCTTAGGTCCCTCTGCCTACGCAACCTTCAATAAATCAAGGGCAGGTGTCTTTGCTTGCGACTCCGCCCCAGTCTAGACTCCTGGGACCCCCAGCTCGGAGCGAAAAGGCGACCGAAAAGCTTTCTGTGGAGGGCAACCCTTTGTGACCGCGCCTCCCTCTGTTACTCCTACATTTCCTGCAACCACTGAACTCGGCTGGGAGAACACGCCTGGCCGGTAGTCTTAAACGCCAACTGTGGGACCACCGACAGAAAAGAGCTATTGGTGCAGCCCCGCCCCTTCCGCTACCACGCTTGGTCCGCTTGGATTCCGCCCCTTCCTCCGTCCGACCCCGCCTTCTTCCGCCGCGGGCTCTGCATGGCCGGGATCCCCACGCTTTTCTGAGCGCAGCCCTATATCGAAGTTCCCGCACGTGGGAGGCCCGGCCGGACCTTGAGCGCGATGCCGCGCGCGCCCCGTTGCCGGGCCGTGCGCTCTCTGTTGCGCAGCCAATACCGCGAGGTCCTGCCGCTGGCAGTCTTCTTGCGGCGCCTGGGGCTTGAGGGCAGTAAACTTGTACAACCCGGGGACCCAAAGGCCTTCTGCACGTTGGTGGCCCACTGCCTAGTGTGTGTGCCTTGGGGCTCGCAGCCTCCACCTGCTGGCCTTTCCTTCCACCAGGTGGGCCTCCGGGTGGGATCCCTGTGGGTCGGGGACGGAGAGCCGGGAGGACGCGGAACAGCGCTCCTAGCTCACGTGTTAAGTCCTTCTTCTTAACAGGTGTCGTCCCTAAAGGAGCTGGTGGCCAGAGTCGTGCAGAGACTCTGCGAGAAAGGCGAGAGGAACGTGCTGGCTTTTGGCTTCGCACTGCTTAACGGGCCCCAAGGCGGGCCTCCCATGGCTTTCACAACCAGCGTGCGCAGCTACTCGCCCAACTCGGTAACTGATAGTCTGCGCGTCAGTGGTGCATGGATGCTTCTGCTGAGCCGAGTGGGCGACGACCTACTGGTCTACCTGCTGGCGCGCTGTGCACTCTACCTGCTGGTGGCCCCGAGCTGTGCCTATCAGGTGTGCGGCCCACCTCTGTACCAAGTCTCTGCCACTGCGAATACCAGGCTTGCTGTGCCCCTCAGCTACAGGCCCACGCGACCAGTGGGTAGGAATTTTACTAATCTTGGATCCACACACCGGGTCAGGAACAGCAGTCACCAGGAAGCATGGAAACCTCTGGTCTTGCCATCTCGAGGTGCGAAACGGCATCTCAGCATCACTGATAAAAGTGTGCCTTCATCTAAGAAGGCCAGGCGTGATCAGGCCCTGAGACTGGAGAAGGGACCTGACGACAGGCAGGCAGTTCCAACCCCATCAGACCCAAGTTCTGCTGAGACCCCCACGGTGCCTACTAGTAGAGCTACCAAGGAAGACTTGTCTTCCAGAGGAAAGGCGCCTGGCCTGAGTCTCTCTGGGTCGGTGTGCTCTAAGCACAAGCCCAGTTCCACATCCCAGCAGTCACCACTATGCCAAGAAGCCTTTCAGCTCAGACCATTTACTGAGACCAAACGCTTCCTCTACTCCAGGGGAGGTTACCGAAAGAGGCTGCACCGCTCGTTTCTACTCAACAACCTCCAGCCAAGCTTGACTGGGGCCAGGAAACTGGTGGAGATCATCTTTCTAGGTGTGAGGCCTGGACCACTCTGTGGGACACGCCGCCTCTCCAGGCGCTATTGGCAGATGCGACCCATATTCCAGCAGCTGCTTGTGAACCATACAAGGTGCTCATATGTCAAACTCCTCAAGTCACATTGCAGGTTTCGGGCAGCAACCGACCAGGTGGCAGATGCCTTGGACACCAGCCCATCGCACCTCATTGATTTGCTCCGCCTGCACAACAGTCCCTGGCAGGTATATGGTTTCCTGCGGGCCTGTATCCGAAAGCTGGTGCCTCCAGGTCTCTGGGGTACCAGGCACAACGAGCGCCGCTTCTTTAAGAACGTGAAGCAGTTCATCTCCTTGGGGAAGTATGGCAAGCTCTCACTGCAGGAGCTGATGTGGAAGATGAGAGTCGAGGACTGCCTCTGGCTTCGCAGCAGTCCAGGTGAGCAGGGCTGGTCTCCAGCTGAATGCAGTAGGGGCCCAGAAAAGGGAGACGATGAATGCCAAGAGCCCAAGCCCTCAGTGGCACCGTGGATTTATGCAGTCAATGGTTGGGCAAGTTCCATCTGATTTATCTCTGACTCCAACCTCCCTCCAGCCCAGTTTGTGCTAACCAAGATTCTTGTCCAAGTCCTGGGCCAGGCAGGTTCTCAGTGCTGGGGACACTGTGGTGAACAGATAAGCAGGTGGGGTGCATAGTGGATAGAAATCCAGTGAGAGCTCCTCCAGGTTATTCGTGTTCCCCTCGTGGAACAGTGCCTTGATGATAACAATGTCAAGTCAGCCCGGGAACCCATTTGTCCTGGTGGGAAGTGAGGCTCCCGAGGTTTAAGGGTTCTTGGGGTTCACTTAAGTGCAGATGTACACTTAAGCTATAATGGTGCAGCTACTCAGTCCAAAAAGGGTAGAGTTGAGGGAGGAGAAATAAATGAAAGACTTCTACAGCAAAGATCCCTGTCCCATCTTACGTATGGGAAGGGACCCGAGAAAGGAGAGCCAAGCCTGCTGCATAAAGGGGGCCTGTTTGTGTAACTTTGGGGTTGTAGAGCCAGGACTTCTGTGCCCTCCCTTGCCTGGTCTAATGTTGAAGTTGGCCCATCCTAGCCAACCCTCCTGTCATCAATCTGTGCATGTATGGAAGGGACCACATTCCCTATCCTGTTCTCCCCTCTCCCAAACTCCTAGGATATTTACAGCTTATGGGGAAAAGATGGCAGAGCCATGTTTACCCACTGTGGATGATCCTTGGGAGCTCCAACATGAGCCTTTAAAAATACATACCTGGCTCTCCCAACTGCAGCACAGAGCCTCTGTGGCCTTTGTAAGTCATCCTGCCTCACGTACACTGTCATTCCTATACAGCTCCGGGCTCCCTGACCCCCAGCTGTCAGTATCTGTTGCCCAGGGTTACCGAGACATCTCTAGAGGAAAGGAGATACACAGCCCCTCACACACACATCCTAAGGCAGAGATAGCAACTCTCCTTATTCTGGACACAAGCTGCTGCTTACTTAAGATCGGACTCTGCCCAGATCCAGCCTTATGATTGCTTTTCCAGATGTGTTTGAACATGTCTCTTCTGCTTCAAGAACCCTTTGACCTTCGGTTTCTCTGGACTTTTCTTTAGAACTTTATTCCTACCTCTTCAGGTTTTTGTTATTTTCTGTCATTATGAGTTGGGTGTTTGGCTACACATTTCCTTCTGGATACTGCCTTAGCTGTACCTCGTGCTTCCATGTGTGGTAATTTTGGTATCAGTGGTTTGGAGGCATTTCCCACCTTCCATTGTTTTTGGTGTGTTTTGTTGTTGTTTTGATGTATTTATAACCTGGGATTTTTTTTAATTCCAAATGTGTGAAATATTTTGAATTTTCCTTTTAAATTGACTTTGAACTCTGGTGTTACAGTCTGTATGATACCGGTTATTTGAAGGTGCTGAAATCTTGCACTTCGGCACAGCCAGTTTTCCTAAGTTCATGGTATTTCTGAATCCTGAGGTTTTTGTGTTCACTATGTCAGGTATATACAGGAAACATGCACATCCTTCCAGGCTGTGAAATAGGAAGAGAGGTGGATACCTCTGTCTCTAACTGGACAACAATTTCTTCTTGTTCTGGTGGTATTCATATGCAACATTGTTAAGTGTATGTACTAGTTATAAGTTTTTATTTATTTTATTTGTTTGAGACAAGGTCTTACTATCTAGTCCTAGCTGGCCTGTAACTTGTTTGTAGACAAGGCTGACCTTGAACTCACAGAGATCTGCCGCACCCAGCTGGAATTTTTATCTTTCTAATTAGAGAATCTTTGATTGCCAGGATAGTATATCTGTAGTGATTTTTTTTTTAAATGTAAAGTTTTGTTTTGTTTTTTTCTGAGACAGGTTTTCACTAAGTTGCTCGGGCTGCCCTCAGATTTGCAGCCCTGTTTCCTGCCTCAGCTTCCAGGGAAGCGGATTGCAGGTGTGTAAGCCTGCTTGGTAGCTGTTTGTCAGCTGCTCAGACTGACTGAACTGGGCTTGCTTTGGTGTCCTTGCTGTGTCTCTTTTCTTCCTCTAAGTTTTGCTTTCTTCATATTCTTATAGTTGAGATGGATCTTTTCCACAGCATGCAAGCGAACATCTCATATACGGCCAGGCCAGCCTGACAGTTGTCACTCCGCTGGAAGCCGAGCTTGCTTGCTTCCTTTCTTTCAAGAAGAAATGTGTCTGAATGTGCTGCTTCTGTTATTTCCAGTTTGCTATCACCAGTTCTAATTTTTTTTTATGTGTGTGGGGGTTTTGCTTGTGTGTCTGTGTACCTCTTGAATGCCAAGGACCCACGGAAGCCAGAAGAGAGCGTTGGATTCCTTGATGGAGTTACAGACGATTGAGAGCCACCGTGTGGATGCTGGGAATCAAACTGAAAAAGCAGCCAGTGTCTTCACAGCTGAGCCATTTCTTTTTTTTTCTTTTTTTCTTTTTTTTTCTTTTCTTTTGAGACAGGGTTTCTCTGTGTAGCTTTGCGCCTTTCCTGGAACTCGCTTTGGAGACCAGGCTGGCCTTGAACTCACAGAGATCTGCCTGCCTCTGCCTCCCGAGTGCTGGGATTAAAGGCGTGCACCACCACGCCCAGCTACAGCTGAGCCATTTCTTCAGCCCATTTGCTCTTGACTCTTGCTGCACCCCACCCCACCCCTGTGTCTTGCTGTCTGAGTGATTGTAAAGTGCCTTTCCTTGCTCACGTGTCTTTACTCTGTTTTCATGTTTGAGAGAGAAGTTCTGTGCACTGCTCTTTGCCGGTGGTCACCTGACATTTGAGCCTTGATGTGCTTGAACTCTGGTCAGCATTTCCACTAGCTTCCTGTCTCTCTGCTGATTTAGCTCTGCCTTCAGTCTCTCTACTCCCAAGTTAAACATCATTTTTTTTAGCTTTATTTATTTATTATGTACACAGAAGAGGGTGCCAGATCTCATTACAGATGGTTGTGAGCCACCATATGGTTGCTGGGAATTGAACTCAGGACCTCTGGAAGAGCAGTCGGTGCTCTTAACCTCTGAGCCATCTCTCCAGCCCCATTCTTGTTTTTTGAGGCCACTGCTTATTTAGTTTTAAACTTCCACACCATTTTCTACATTTATTTGTTTTTAATGATTATTTTATGTATATGAGTGTTTTGCCTGAATGTATGTATGTGTACCATGCCATCCATGCCTGGTGCTGGAGCAGACCAGATGAGGGTGTCAGATCTCACAGAACTAGAGTTACAGGAGGTTGTGAACTACCATGTGGATGCTGAGGAAAAAAAACTGAGAACCTCTGCAAGAGCAGCCAGTGCTCTTAACCACTGAGGTATCTCTCCAGCCCCTGAGTCCTTCTTTCTCTGTTCATTCTATCTTCTGTCTTGTCCCTCCTTCTGGGATTCCCCTTCTCCTGCACAAGTTTCCCTCGTGGTCATCACTGCTGGTAAACCCAGCTTTATCTGGATAAAGCAGGCCCCCATGGTATCTGGAGATCTTCAGAGGTCCTCAGAAGGACAGCTATCATAGCCCATGGTGCACTGAACCCACATGTCTAAAGTGACAATAAGAGTAGCCTGTTCTCTGCTTGGCCCTGCATGTCTCTGAACTGCGCTGCTCAGTGGCAGTGAGTGTGTGGTCTGTGACCCTGTAGAACAGCCTCAGTACCCATTGAAGTTTGCCTGTGCATGTGTGTGGAGGCCTGAGGTTGACATCAGGAGTCATCTTTAATCACCTGGAGTCGCTGATTCAGATAGGATCCATTTGTCTTTGCATCCTTAGCACTGAGATCACAGGCCCAAGTCCCCACAGCTAGCTTTTATAACATGGGTTCTGATGATGAGACTCGGTTTCCATGCCTCTAGAGCAAGCACTTTACCAACTAAACAGTGTCCCTAACCCCTATCTGAAGACATTCTTAGCTTTAGAGTTGGTAGAAGCTAGGGTCTGCAAAGTCAGTCCATCCCAAAAGATTCACTGGATAGCCACCAAGGTGCTAGGTCAGATGCAGAAGTTGGAAGTGAATGGCTGTTGGGGAAAGACGACTAGAGCACCTCACGCTCAGTCAGCAGCATTTCCTCTCTAGTCATGGTGATGGGCCTGCCGGATCCCATCACTGACAGGGCTTCGTCGGGGACTCTAGTTTACAACATGCTTTAAAAAGAAAGCACACACACAAAAAGGTTAAACTAGTTTATTGATATATTTATTATATTTATCTAATATATTTTATTAGAACCCCAGGTGTTAGAACCCTAACACCTTGTGGGCTCATTTTGGGGTCCCATGGCTTCCATGCTGGGGGGTAAGTCATGGGTGTTGAATATCTACTATTTTCAGGAAAGAGCCGTGTCCCAGCTGAAGAGCACCGTATGAGGGAAAGGATCCTGGCTACGTTCCTGTTCTGGCTGATGGACACATATGTGGTAGAGCTGCTTAGGTCATTCTTTTACATCACAGAGACCACATTCCAGAAGAACCAGCTCTTCTTCTACCGTAAGAGTGTGTGGAGCAAGCTGCAGAGCATTGGAGTCAGGTACCACACAGGATCTCTGATATCCGTGTCTGCTGTTTATATACACAGACTCCAACAGTGTATGGCACCTGCTAGCCTGCCCATGGACCTTCAGGACAGACTCCATGTAGTCATGGACTGGAGATCCTGCTTTCTTGCCTGTAAAATCCTAAGTTGGACCTGTACCATCCATAGGATCCCTAGCGTAGGAGGAATTCATACCAAACAGGGCAGAGCAGCTACCTGTTTGGTACATGGGTCAGATGGGTTCAACCTTATGTTCACCCCGGAAGGAAATACCTGTGAGGAGCCTCCTCAGTGGGAAACCACAAAGGGTCCACCCTGAGAGCTGGCAGGGGCTCTGAGTGGCTGAGGTTCTTTGCTTATTGAGCTGGGATTTGCTGTCCCAGTGGAAGGTACACAGGCCAAGCTGGGGAGGCAGAGTAGATGGCAGGCAAGGCCTGCGGAGAGCAGACTACCATGTTAACCAAGGTTTCTCTGGGTAGCCCTGGCTGTCCTGAAACTAGCTCTGTAGAACAGGCTGGCCTTGAACTCAGAGATACCCCTGCTTCTGCCTCCTGAGCACTGGGATTAAAGGTGTGTGCCTTCACCACCCAGCTCTATGTTTCATGAGGTCCACCCTACCTATGTATTACTTGTGCTTGTGGGATCCTTAGCAGCCATCACAGGGCTTCCTGAGCACTTTGGCACACATGACCTGGGGCGGGCAGGGATGCTTTTTGCTTTCACACCTGTATCTAAGCCAGGATAGCCATAGAGTGCAGCAGATTGCTTCAAAAGTATCCTGGCCAACTGGACCACCCCAAGAAGGGAATACTGAGGGTAGACTATGGGGCCAGATGTCCCAGGTGCCCACACAGCTACGTCACATACCCTGTTCAGACAGTTCTGGGGGTTGCCTAGTTGGTGTGGGTTGCTGTGATCCCGGATGTAGCCCCACAGCATGGCGAACTGTCAAATGACCCAAGTTCCTAACCACCCTGATGGGATGTGTCTCTTGAGTTTACCACATGCTCATGTCGTAACTCCACAATGCTCTCTGTAACAGGCAACACCTTGAGAGAGTCCAGCTGCGGGAGCTGTCGCAAGAGGAGGTCAGGCGGCACCAGGAGGCCTGGCCAGCCATGCCCATCTGCAGACTGCGTTTCATCCCCAAGCCCAGTGGTCTCCGGCCCATTGTGAACATGAGTTTTAGCATGGGCACCAGAGCCTTTGGCAAAGAGAAGCAGGTGACTGCACTTGGCTCCTGTACTGTGGTTGAGCCTATGCTCTGACTTACGCAAAGGCTCATGAAGTTCTAAGCCCTGGGTAGACAGAAGAGGGCGGAGGAGGACATGATTGTTCCTGAGTCCAAAAATTCAGCATATGGGAAGGCCCTAGAGATGGGAGATGGTCTCAAGAGCCAGCGGGCTTGGGACATAAACCTTGGAGGTACCTCATGGATCCTGTCACATAGGGTAGACACTATATGGCCTCCATGCTAGAGGCCAAAGTAACCATGGAGCAGCTGCCTCCCACAGCTGGATGTCCATAACAGCTCTGACCCCTCCCAGTGCCTATGTAAGGTGTGTGGAGTGACTTTGTCCTTAGTAATGCCTCAGAGGACAAAGTAAAGCTATTGATGCCTGGAGGACCTTTATGAGTGAAGATGATCCTGAGGACATGTCTCCGGAAGGCAGTGCCTTTGGTTGTGGGTGAGAACAGGTTGGGGCAGGTTGGGTGGGACAAGTCTTCCAAGGCTCTGGACTACAGGAGTCTATTCTGAGAAATCAGGGTGCTCTGGGACAGTCTGCCAGGTCCCTTTCTAATGTGTCTTCTGTGGCCCTGGCCCAGGCCCAGCATTTCAGCAAACGTCTCAAGACTCTGTTCAGCGTGCTCAACTATGAACGGAAAAAACATCCTAACCTTCTGGGGGCTTCTGTACTGGGCTTGAATGACATCTACAGGACCTGGCGGACATTCGTGCTGCGTGTGCGTGCTCTGGACCCGGCACCCAGGATGTACTTTGTTAAGGTGGTCATTTGGACTCCTGTCCATCACATTTGCTCTCGTGGTCTGGGCTCTAGGGACCTCCTTGGAGCAGCCAACACTGGGTGACCCTGTTGTAGGCTCAAGCTGGTGACTGAGAGTGTTGGCCTGCTGCCACACGTAGGCCAACGATGCCATGGCCTTCCATTCTCTTAGGAGCAGGGGGACCCCATTCTTCTGGGATAACCAGCTCCCAGAATATCCTTGAGCTCTCTATGGGTTCCCTGGACAGTGCACTCCAACTCCTCTGGGACCTGTCCTGTAGGAGAATCCCACTGGATGCTGAGTCCCATTCAGAGAAGTAGCCATGCTTGACTCGACCACCAGGGCCTGCATGCTTCAGTGTCTTAGTTAGGCAGGGGCCCTTGTAGGCTCTAGGGCTCTGCAAGGAGAATGTAGGCTTTTCTTATCCTAGGGTCCTCAATCTGGGGTAATGGGCTAGAGAGAGGTATGTAGGCTTGCTATGCCCCAGGGTCCTTTGTCTGGAACAGGAAATTTGTGGGATGGGCATGTGTGGCTAGGCTGGTACAGGAGCATGGAGTATCTTTCTTGCATTTTTCTCTGTCTCCTGCAGGTTTGCTTAAAAATGGTTGGAACCCAGATACTAAAGACAGAGCCAGCAGGACCTCTGGGCCTGGGCCCAACCATGCTTAGTAGTGTTCACGTGTGTTCCACAGGCAGATGTGACTGGTGCATATGACGCCATCCCCCAGGACAAGCTTGTGGAGGTTGTTGGCAATATGATCAGACACTCAAAGAACACATACTGTATCCGCCAGTATGCAGTGGTCCGAAAAGGTTGCCAAGGCCAAGTCTACAAGTCCTTTAGGAAACAGGTAAGGCCATTGTGGACTTTCACCTATGCTGTGAGCATGTTGGTGGCACAGGCTTCTCATGTCATGACTATCTGGGATCTGTCAGGGACAGAGTGAGGCTGTGACAGGTCCACATTTCTGGCATTTTCGTACCAGGGCCTGTCCATGGTGCCAGTGATCATTTGTCTAACCCCAGCCTGCCTCCCTCTACAGGACTCCCAGTGGAGCTTATATATATCTGCAACTATCTGCAGTATCTAACCCAATATCTGCAACTATCCTCCCACGCTCTGGGACAGCTTGTTCATTTCCACATCCAGTGTCCTCTTCAGTAGGCAGGTGGGGCCTGCAGGTTTAAAAGTGGAGGAATTTGCACAGAGTTCAGGCCTGAGAGAGGTGCAAGGTGACTTCCTTTCCCTGTATGTAGGACACACAAGATTCCCAGGCAAACTTTAACTATACATGCGTGATATATGCAGTGGCCATGTGGCTTCTGCACCAAGGGCATATTCATAATTACTACACCCAGACGATTCCTTCCCTGCTCTGGCCAGAGCACCCATCATGGTGCCTCTGTAGAGGCTAGAGGACAATGTGTGGGAGTTAGTTTTCTCCGTCCACTACGTGGATCTGGGGATTGAACTTAGGTCATTAGGCTTGGTGGTAGGTGTCTTTCCTTGCTGGGCCATCACACGAACCCCAAGTAAACACCTGAAGTTAAGCATTTCTCTTTCAGAGCCCTCAAGTAGTACTATACCACTCTGGCATTTTGCCAGTTCATTATCTGCAGTTCAAAATCTTCATTATTTATTTATTGCAATTTTTGATAGCCTCGTGGTGATTTAGAAGCATGTTACTTAATTATTTTGAAAATGCAAGCATCGTCTATATATCTTGCTATTCTTTTCTAGGTTAATTCTTGTAATTTAAATACTCTGGGTGACTTTACTCCTGGCACTACCGCAAACCCACTTGGCACATGGTTTTTGTTGTTGTTGTTTTGTTTTGTTTTGTTTATTTTGTGCTATTGTAGGTTAATTGTACTTAATAATGGGTTTCAATATGACATCTTTATATGTGTGTAATGCATTTTGACCATACTCACACATGTACCCTAACATGGGAAATTTTAAGGCTCAAAGCCAATGTTCAGTCTCAACATAGGAGAGAATGGAGCAGAAGTATTTCGAGAACAATCCAGGGTTACTTAGAGACTCCTGTCCTGTCTGGACGCCTCACACCTGGCATGTTTGGAATTGTTCCTGCGCTGTCAGTAGATGGTGCTGTATTTCTTCTGTTGACATCCTGTCTGGAGCCGTGGGCCTTGCTGGCCGCTGGATAAAAAGCAGGCATCCTAGAGAGTCTGTTGCAGGAGATGAAGGAACCAATCCCTCCCTATTCCTGTCAGCTCTTCTTCCTGTCTGCACACGGTCTCCGTGGAGAAGTCGGGGTGTTGCTTGTGTCGTGATTGTCGGTAACCACAGCATTGTGGGGTGTCTGACCCAAGGAAAGCCGACTGTGGTGAAACCTGCTGTTCCTGTGGCTCTTCCTGCTGGGGTCCTATGTTCTCTCTCTTCCTTACAAGACTCTGTGATGGAGTGGCCCCGCATTGTTGTGTTGTGGAACTGTGCTGTGGCTGTCCTGGCCAGAAAACCGTGTGCCCCTCTGGCTCCTCTCAAGGACCCACCTCTTCTTTGCTGCAGGTGTCCACCCTCTCCGACCTCCAGCCATACATGGGCCAGTTCGTGAAACACCTGCAGAACTCGGATGGCAGCGTGCTGCGGAACTCCGTTGTCGTCGAGCAGGTCCGCGGACTTCCCGTTAATGGGCTCCCTGGTGGGGCCTTCCACCTCTACTGGTCTGTCTGCTTCAGTGCAGAAATGTGACCAGCATGCTCCTTGGTGGAGAGTTCCCATGACCAGGGCCCCTCTTCCTGGAGGCAGTCCCATGGCATGCCCAAGGCCCCCCAATAGTTACTAAGGTGGGCATACTCTTGCTTTGAAGCACCCTTTCTACCCTTGTTCCCCAAACTCCAGCTGATCCATCGGTGAACTGGTAAAAAGATCTTCTCCCTCAGTTCTGATCTGAAGACCATAGGACAGTTCACCTGCTTTTGGTGGACAAGCTGGACTTGATCTGTGATCCCCATCTTGATCCATTATGTCAGAGACAGTGTTTCCCTACACCACACACAGGGCATCGCCTCCCACAAGTCAATGGTTCTACAGAACCTTCTTTGTACATATTCTCCCTTTGGGGCAGCCATGCTCACGGAGACCTTTAGATGATTTTCTTTTGGCTCATTAGGGTACTGTATGAGCTCCAAGTTTCCAGACCTAGTGCTGTAGGACATAAAAGGTTACATCACTGCTTTGTAAGTTGCATACCCTGTCACCTTGAGTCAAATTCAACCTGGTCACTTGACTCTGGCCCCACCCCTACTTACCGTGAACACTTGGTCTTAAGGGGGCATCTGGTGGCAACCTCCTGCAACATTCTGCATCCTCATACTCGTCTGTCTACATGTGTCTGCTTTTCTAGAGCTTCTCTTGGAACGAGGCCAGCAGCAGCCTGTTTGACTTCTTCCTGCACTTTATGCGTAACAATGTCGTGAAGATTGGTGGCAAGTAGGCACGGGCATGGGGCAAATGGGCAGAGGCTGGGCAGAGGCTGGGCGGGTACAGGTAGACAGAGGCCGTCCTGACTGCTAAGCAGGATGCCCGCTAACTAGCTACAGCACTTAGAACTCTGACTGGCTGCCTCTGCCTCATTCCTTCCTCCCCATGCCCCTTTGTAGAATTTTCTTGCCCTTCTGCTGGCTGAGCCACAGGGCTGCTTACCCATGAGGCCTTGTGAGCTCCTGGCTAAGCATGGCCCCAGTGAAGTTAATAATTCTGTATGCCTGGAGCTCCCATTGTCACTTTGACAAAATGGCAGGGGCACCTCCCCTGTGCAGCCAGGCATGGGATACATGTAGCATCAAGGAAGGAAGTGTAGCACCCATGGCTGGGTCCCCCTGAGACTCCATGAGTTACAAGCCAGACTGGGTCCCCTTTAAAAAGCACTGATGTGGTGAAGGGGGCCCAGACTGGCTCAGTGCTGGAGCTGCCGAACAGCCCATCAGCCTGAAGAAGACATGCTCTGTGTGTCCGGATCAGGTGTCAGGGTGAGTGTTTGAACATTTGGTTGGACCTTCTGCACCCAAAGTCTCCACCTGGAGAATGGAACTCTGGTTATGCACTTGACTCCTTTTTGCTGGGCTGGTAGGAGCCCATGATGAGTGCCAATACAGAGCGGAATTCCAGGCTCACACCCAGGCTTCTTAGAGATGAGGTCAGGCAGGGCAAGAAATATCTGATTATCAAAAGTCACATTATGTACTAGGATGTAATTGGAAATGTTAGATATGTGTGCTGGGAGACCGACCACAAGCTACAAGTGTACAACTGGGTGTATTTTCACAAACACAACTAAGGGTGCTCCTGAGTCCTGGTAGTACTGAGCACAGATCTGTGAGTCTCTCCATGTGGTAGTTAACTTAGTCCTCATGTGGGTCAGCCTGATATGCTGAAAAGTCAGATCTGTGTGCACCGTGCCTGGAGAGCTTCCTGAAAGTTACTCTAGCAGAGGGGATTGAGTCAGTGCAAGGGATTAAAGGTCAGCTCACACCTACTCTTTCTCACATACGGGTTCCCTGGGTGAGTTTCCTGTCCTGATCATCTGAAGGCACCCACCCCTGCCAGCACCAGCATGCATGTTTGACTGAAGGGTGCCATTATGTTCTCTTCGAAGAAGGCACTAACATTTTCACATGGCTGTTACCTGGAATGTTTCTTCACTAATAATCTGTTACTAATTGTACCAGATAAATACTCAGTTCAAGAGCCTGATTGCTTATCATTCTTGTTTAAAATCTTAAAATTTAAAATTAAAAAAAACCCAAAACCTGGAGTCAGTGAACAGGGATGTAGTGCCCACCACTCCAGGTTGTAGTAAGAGTGGGGAATGGGAGAGATAAGGGTGGTACTTAATTGGGTGTCTTTTTAGGTCTTGGCAACTGATGGTAGTAGATACTACTGTTTGTATATGTGGTCTTTGAGCATGTTTACAGAATGGTGTCTGTGTATATTCATGCATGTCTGTGTACATATTTATGCATGGGGGTTGTCAGATGTGTGTATGAAGCCCACTGTGGCTGCTGCTTCTGACCATAACCATCCCACCACCCCCAGGTGCTATGTCCAGCACCAGGGCATCCCCCAGGGCTCCAGCCTGTCCACCCTGCTCTGCAGTCTGTGTTTCGGAGACATGGAGAACAAGCTGTTTGCCGAGGTGCAGCAGGATGGGTAAATGCTTCCTTTTACTGCTCCGAGGGTCCAGGTCATGAGTTGGCGTATCTTCATACATTATGTTTCTAGCTCACTGAGTGGGTGTTATAGTTGCCATTGCCTTCACTTCATGAAAACCTGTGAAGGGTCCCAGAGCTATTTCTGTTAGGAAGTGAGTAAAACTGTCATTTATCTTCTTTTAAAATATCATTTTGTTTTGTCTTTGCACATTCCAATACTTAAAATGTTTTAGCTTGGATCTCTTACGGGTGAATTCTATGTGAGACCTGTCAACGTGTCTTATTTTAGGCTGCTTTTACGTCTTGTTGATGACTTTCTGTTGGTGACGCCTCACCTGGACCAGGCGAAATCCTTCCTCAGGTAAGGACCATCATGCCTGGGTTTCTGCTGTGTGACTGTGATGTATGTATGGCTGAGGCAACACATGTAGTTGGTTTGTAATTTTGTGTCTGGACCTCATGTTGTACCAAGACCTAGTGGCATCTCTACTAAGTGTCAGGGGCACCTCGCCTGTGCAGCCAGGCGTGGGATACCTACAGCACCAAGGAAGAGATAGAGCACCCATGGCTGGTCCAGCTTGGTCTCACTGAGGATGCCATATGCTGAGAGACAACAGGCAGTAACCCCCATGTCTCCCAGCTGAGCCCACAGAAGGGCTGTTTACAGAGGCCTGAGGCACTAAGCCCTTCTGGGAGATATGCTGTCCCTAAGTACAGCTGTCTTAGTGAAGAGACACCATGACCACAGCAACTCTTTTTTGTTTGTTTGTTTTGAGACATGGTCCCTCTGTGTAGTTTTGGAGCCTGTCCTGGAACTCACTTTGTAGACCAGGCTAGTCTCAGACTCACAGAGATCCTCCTGCCTCTGCCTCCCAAGTGCTGGGATTAAAGGTGTACGCCACCACTGCCCGACCCACAGCGACTCTTATAAAGGAAAACATTGAATTGAGGCTGGCTCACAATTTCAAAGGTTTGGTCCATTATCATCACTGTGAAAGGCATGGCAGCATGCAGTAACACATAGTGCTGGAGAGGCAGCTGAGCGTTAGTTCTACATCTTTGACTCACAGGCAGCAGAAAGTAAACTGTGAGCCACACTAGGCCTAGCTTGAGCATATGTGACCTCAAAGCCCGGTTCCAGTGACACGCTTCCTCCAGCAAGGCCACACCTCCTAATAGTGCCGCTCCCTATGGACCAAACATTCAAACATGAGTCTGTGGGGGCCGTACCTATTCACACCACCACAAGAGCCATTCCTGACAACTTTGAGACTTCACACCACACCATGAAGGAAAGGCACTGGGTGAACAGGTCCATGGCTCTGTGGAGTAACTTTTCTGTATGGATTGTTAGGAAGAGACCAGAGAATTTGGACTTACCAAACATTGGTGTTTTAAGACATGGCTGTTGCCTCAGGAGTGGTCATCTTTCTCATATAATAATATTCATTCCAGTAGGTTATAGTGTGTGTTCCGGGCTGTGTTTATAGTATGTATTAGGTCAGGGTTATGGCGTATCTGGTTGTAAAGTTAATTTTTGTGGCTTAAGCTAGAATTGGGCATTGCAGCCCTGCTTCAGAGCAGGGCCATTGACTGATGTTCTCAGACACTACAGTTTGAGGGCTCCCTCAGATCATGTGTTATAGAGGAGGCCCTCAGGCACTGTGGAATTTGTAGGGTAACTGACAAGAGAGGAAAAACCTGAAAGTGGTTAATTAAGCTGAGCTCTTGGAAGCTGTCACTACTGAGGTGTTGGTGTTTCCATTATCCACTGGCCTGTCTGGTGGAAACACTAAACACTGTCCAGTTCCAAATCTGCCCCGCAGGGCTCTGTGCAGGCTGCCTGTACTTCCTAGCATAGTGTCCTCAAGCCCAAGTGCATGTCAAGGTCAGTAGAATCAGGTGAGAACAGCCCTGGTGCTGGGGACAGAGGACACTGCTGCTGTTGAGGAAAGTTCCAGAAGTCAGGGAAGTGGCTCTGGATCAGTGTCAGGTCACTAGGTGACAGGACCACTAGCTGTCCATGGACATCTGTAGGAAAGATGTACTGCAAGGAGCTGGCCAGGGCAGCTGCAAGGACTGACTAGAGTCTACAGTACACAGGCAGGTAGATGACGTCAAGTGGCCATACCCACGGGACAGGAGCCAGACCACTGCCAGACTGCCACTGAGAGTTCACCGTGAGGAAGGGCGCAAATAATCTGCCTTCGACTCACGGGGAGATCTGACCCACAAACAGTCTATTAGCATTTGCTGGTAGAGGAAGCAATCCACATCTACAGGGACCTCGAAAGTAGCTACAAGAAAACAGGCTTTTGGGTAATAGGGAAAGGATGCCTTACTACATGGGTGCTAAGATACGACCGTCAGAGGGTCATGTGACTTTCCCACTTGTTTGATGCATGGCCATCTGGTTCTGAGCTGGCCCTGTTGCTCTGTTGCTTACACAGAAGACAGGAGCTAGGCTGTAGTCCAGAGCAAGCCTGTGCCTGGTGTTCCATCAGGTACCCACAAGGACCCACTCTCTCTGGTCCCAGAACACCTGTAGGTATTTTTGTGGCATGTGCCGAGTGCTTCCAGGGTCCCATAACCAGTGTTTCCTCCCTTACTCAGGGCCCTGGTCCATGGCATTCCTGAGTACGGCTGCATGATAAACCTGCAGAAGACAATGGTGAACTTCCCTGTGGACAGTGGTACCCTGGATGGTGCAGCCCCACACCAGCTGCCTGCTCACTGCCTGTTTCCCTGGTGTGGCATATTGCTGGACACTCAGACTCTGGAGGTGTTCTATGACTACTCTGGGTAAGCACATCTCTCTGGATAGCAATCCGGCTGCTTAAGCCCTCGTAAAATGGCTCAGTGTGTGCTTAGACTCTGCACGTATTCACATAAGCTTTGAGTCAGTCAGGCTAGGGCAGCATCTCCAGGAAGCGACACTTATGGTCCTTAGAACACCCATTCATTTTTCCTAGTAACTCCACATCTTCGTATCTACCCTGAAACAAAATCAGAGACTACCAAAGATTTTACTTGAGCGTTTACAGTAGCAAGGCCAGTTTGTCTTACCCTTTGACCTGAGCAGTGGCCCAGACGCTGCAGAGCGCAGGAAGCAGCCATATTCTGTGTAGAGATCACATTTTAAAACAGTGTTGAATGTCAGAAACCCCATTTTATCATCAAAGTGTTCAAAAGCATGTGCAGAAGTTCGACTTGAACTGGGGAGGGAACTGGGGTTAAAAGTGCTTGCTGTGCAAGGACGAGGATCTGTGTTCAAGTCCCAGGTAAAGAGCCGGTGGTTACATGCACCTGTGTCCCTGACAGTATGGGTAGAGATGGAGAAAAGTTGGTCATAGGGCGTGGCTGGTTGCCAGCCTAGCTCCAGGCTCAGTGTTTCAAGGGAATAATGTGGAGTGCGAAAGAGCAGGACACCCCTTCCTCTGGCCTCCGTCCACATGCACAGGCATGCACTCGCAATGCATAGGACACCTATACCTGTGTTCATCTTTGAGGATGAACCAAGGTCACTGGGTGGCGAGAAGGCACCGCCCCTTACCTTCGGTCCCGCACGTGTCCCATCTCGTAATTTCATATCTGAAGATAACCAAGAAGCACCCTGCAGTCTGCAGGTGGTTTGACACCGGGGTAGGCATTTCCTTACTGTTTGCTGCCACTGAGATCTGGCTGGGGGTAATTTTCTGCTCCACTCACACACAGCCCTGTGCTAGGAAGGTGCTCTGTCAGACTGCAACCACTTAAGAAGCTTCCTGTATGATTCATGTTTCTTTCTGAACTGTGAATTTTGACGGCTCTTATTTGCCACTGTTGAGCAAAGATGTCTGGTGATCCCGAGCCTGGATAAAATGGATATTGTTCACTACATCTGGTTGGGTTTGGTTGCCCAGGGGCTTCGGGTGGTGCAGTGAGCATGTACCAAGAGCTGGAATGTGTTCCATGTGTGAAGGTCCATCCCTATGGAAGACCTCAGTGTGTGGCAGAGGGGGGCAAGAGGTGCTCGTCTCTCAGAGGAGGGGTTGGTGTGGGAATCACACAGGTCGGATATCTTTGTGCTGCAGTTACTCCCGGACCTCAATTAAGGCCAGCCTCACCTTCCAGCGTGTCTCCAAGGCTGGGAGGAGAATGCGACAGAAGCTCTTAGCTCTTTTGCGGTTGAAGTGTCACGGTCTGTTTCTAGACTTGCAGGTAAGCAGATGGCAGCCACCTCATCTGTTGGTCCTTTGTGCGGGTCCTGTTCTTTGTGCAGGTTATGAGTATTTGCGGATGGGTGCAACTGTGTGTGTGTGAAGAGCATGTAGACATCTATATGTGTACTGGGGATTCCTGAGCATCCACCCTGCTCATCTCCATCACTTTCCAATACTGTCATCGCTCCCCACAGAGAGGTTCCCTGGATCCTGGATCCTTGGCCTTGGGCTCTCAGGCCCTTGCTGCTGAGTTCTCTGTCTAGGAGGGGCCGTTGTGGTAGACTTTGGCCTCTGCTTCTTCCTGCTTCCTCCCCTCTTGATGACACCTGGGGACCTGGCTGGATTTCTAGGGTCTCCCATACAAGTGTCTTTCTTATCCATTTGACAACACAGAAAGTGTTCGTTTGTGATCTGAGGGATGTTGCTGATGGTTCTCTTTCTCCTGGGACTCTAGGTGAACAGCCTCCAGACGGTCTGCATCAATGTGTACAAGATCTTCCTGCTTCAGGCCTATAGGTGAGTCATGGGCTGTGCCACCACTAGAGGGAGGCACAGGCCAGAAATGTCAGCCACGCTGTCTGCTGGGGCTTTCATGCTTAAGGTAACGCTGGCTAGTTGCTCCCCTAATTGGGTGGCATGTCGAAGTGAGGTTAGGAAAAAGCAGCATTCAGTTGAGTCTCCACAGAGCTCTGTATGTGTCAGATGAGAACCTCTCCTGGTCTCCCTGTGCTGGAAGTACAGATGACCTCATGTGCTGACCAGAGCTCGAGACAGGAGGGGCTGGGGTGGAGACCCCCAAGAAAGCACCTCGGAAGGCATAGGATGGGAGGGGAAGCAGAGAATCGGATCTATCGCTGATGGTGTATTGCACTGCAGAAGTCGTGACAGGGACCCAGCCCAAAGCCGCCTGGCCGTCGTGGTGTCCCACACATTGCCTTGTGCTGCTGGGACACATTTGGTTGGTCCTGAGACCTGGGGCTGGTGGCTGATCAGTGGGATCCATTCCCAGGTGTCAGGTAGTGAAATATCTCCACCTGAAGTCAGGTTCATTAGGCCAGACCCCATGACACTCATTACACAGTCTCTTACCTGGCTGCAGGGGCACAGCATGGCCCTTTCTTCTCAAGTTTCCTGTAGGGATGGGATTGGCTTCCCATGACTCATGAAAGGAGGGCTGCTCCAAAGAGCTGTCACAGAGTCAGACGGCCACACCAACCACAGGCCAGATTTATGCCACTGTGGATCTAAGCCCCCTCCCTGGTCCCTGGAGCTGAGTGTGGGAAGAGCTTGTGCTGTGGAAGACTGGGCACAATTTCAATGCCAGGCAGTTTACCCTTGCTGTGATGTGAGGTGAGAGTGCATGAGGCAACTGGGAAGAGACTAGTTCTGTGACAGTACACGTGTGGGAAGACATGTGCTCATGCACACACAGTGTGTGTGTGTGTGTGTGTGTGTGTGTGTGTGTGTGTGTGTGTGTGTGTAGTGGTAAGTTCATTTGTGCATGCAATTACATGATTCAAGGCATGTGGTGCCCATAAATCTGTGTAATTCACATGTATGCCAGACAAGAGCTTGCTTTTGTATACACATGTGCACACACTTACCAAGGGCCCTTCCCCAACACTGTGACTCCTGCCCAGGTTCCATGCATGTGTACTTCAGCTCCCCTTTGACCAGCATGTTAGGAAGAACCCCGCATTCTTCCTGGACATCATATTCAGAATAGCATCCTACTGCTACTCCATCCTGAAGGTCAAGAATGCAGGTGCGTGGGTGGAGCAGGGCCAGCGTGCCTGTGCAGTGGGTGGGCATCCTGCACTCACTCGGGAGCTCGTCAACTGTCATTGCTGGCCTAGGGGCTGGTAGGTCAGAAGGATGCTGAGAACGCCTTGGAGGGCATGAGGGTCTGTGGCCAGCTGGGTCCTTCAGCCTCCATCTGCTTCCCCAGGAATGACACTAAGGATCAAGGGAGCCTCTGGCTTATTTCCTCCTGAAGCTGCTCATTGGCTCTGCTACAGAGCTTTCCTGCGCAAGCTGGCTGGTCATTCTGTCATCTACAAGCGTCTCCTGGGAACTCTCAGGACAAGTAAGTGAGCTCCCTCCAAATGGCCCCCAAATCTACCCTTGAACACTGAGTGCCTAGGTGAACCCAAAGGCAAACTGTAGGTGCCAAGTCCATCTCCATTTGCCTGGGGAGGAGCCCACTCAGGCAGCTCTGGGTGGGCGAAGCTAGGCTTCCAGACCACAGCTTCCTACTTCTGCCTTCCTGCTCCCTCTCTTCTACTTCTTACCTCAGGAAAGGCCCATGGAGTGACACATTTCACTTTCAGGAACCTTCTGATCCCTGCCTGGTCCCTTCACCTCTGCTCTGCTGCTTCCTAGATGCTGGGAGGGATCCTTGGGTTTCTGCAGTGGTGGTGGTGTGTTCCTGGGTGGGGCTCCTGCTCACACCTGGCCCACACATGGCCAGGATTTGACCCAGGTAGGCTAAGGGACTACCTCACCTCTTTGGAATGAAATTTGAGTACATCCTCTGTTGCAGCCCAAAGACAGCTGGGCCGGAAGCTCCCAAGGACGACAATGGCCATCCTTAAGGCTGCAGCTGACCCAGCCCTAAGCACAGACTTTCAGACCATTTTGGACTAACCCTGTCCCCTTCCGCTGGATGAACATGGGCGTTGTAGCCCCACCACTCCTGGATCCAAGAGGGACCAGCCTGTTGTGGGGCTAGGTTGCTCTCCAAAACCTCTGTGTCATGGGTGGTAGTATGGAAGTTTGTCCCAGTGCCCTGTTTCCTGTGGTGGGCTTGATTTCCTTCCTGATGCCCTCCAGGAAGCAGATCCCACCCCTTTTAGTGTCAAGGATCCACTAGTCACCAACACCAAAAGGAGGTAGAAGACGTATGGGCACTGGGACCATGTGGACAGGTGTGAGATGCCTGGCCCTGGTGTCTTTTCATATCTAACCATGGAGTCTTTTCCAGTGGGGTCAGAGTGTCTCAGAGATGAAGACAGGACTTTGAACCAGTAACCTAAATTACAACCTAAATACACCTGAATTCAAGTGGCTGAATGTCTTGTTACTTTTGTTGTTGTTGTTGTTGTTGTTTTAGCTTTTGCTGTCCTGGAACTCGCTCTCTAGACCAGGCTGGCCTTGAACTCACAGAGATCCACCTGCTTCTGCCTCCCAAGTGCTGGGATTAAAGGCAATGCACCACCACTACCTAGCTGTCTTGTTACTTTTCCATTGTTGTGATAAAACAACATGACCAAGACAATTTTTTTTAAAAAGGCACTTATTTGGGGCTTACAGTTTTAAAGGGTTAGAATCTATCTATGATCATGGTAGGGAGCATGGCAGCAAATCGGCAGGCATGGTGTCTTTCCACACCTAACCATGGAGTCTTTTCCAATGGGCCAATGGAGTCAGAGTGTCTCAGAAATGAAAACAGGACTTTGGGCTGATATGGTGGTTTGAATAGGTATGGTCCCCATGGACTCATGTATTTAAATGTTTGACTCTTAGGGAATGGCACTATTAGAAAGTGTGGCCTTGTTGGGGAAGTGTGTCACTGTGGGGACTGGCTTTGGAGGTCTCATAGATGCTCAAGCTATGCCCAACACACGGACTTCTGCAGCTGTGGATCCAGATGTATAACTCTCAGCTCCTCCAGCACCATGTCTGCCTGCATACCACCATGTCCCACAATGATGATAATGGACTAAACCTCCTCTGAAACTATAAGCCAAGCCACCCCCAGTTGAATGTTTTTCTTTATAAGACCTGCCATGGTCGTGGTGTCTCTTTACATCAATAGAACCCCTAACTGGGACAGCCAGGAACCTAAATCACATCCAGGTGACTGCATGTCTCAGTTACCTTTCTATGGCTGTGATAAAACACCATGACCAAGGCAACTTACATAAGTAGAGATTTTTAATTGGAGCAGTAGCTGAGAGTTTACATCTTGATGCACAAGCACAAGGCAAAGAGAGCTAACTGGGAAATTCTGTTTGTTTTATTTTTTTACAATATTCTCAGAGTCCACTTTAATTTTCAGTGGTAGTCTGACAAACACTTAAAGTGGTGAACGCTGAAATCAAGCAGTGAAGTCAAAGGGATCACACGGGGACATTTCCTAAGTTCTCAAACCTAAGATTCCTTGGCAGCATTTGAGTCAAGTAATCACAGTGGCTATCTACTGAGATCACTGTGAAGGTAAAAAGGGTGACATATAGTACTGAACCAGGCAGGAGTCACACACCAATAAGAGAGTAAATCGTGAAATTGTTTGTCATCATACTTGATTGAAGTACCACTCAAAAAGACTTCTGCTTAAGCTTTCTGGTTTCCCCCCTTTGGTTTTTTCAAGACAGGGCCTCACGATGTAGATCTTGGCTGTCCCAGAACTCACTATGTAAACTAGGCTGGCCTCAAACTCACCTAGATCCACCTGCCTCTGCCTCCAAGTGCTAGGACTAAAGGCCTATGCCACTGTTCCCTAGCTTGTTTCCTGAATTATTAACCACTGATTCCACACTCTGTACCCTTCATCACAAAGCCCCATTCAAACTGCCTGCCCATGTCCTATGCATAAATATTTTTTCATTGTAACCTGATCCTTTCCTCAAATTTTGTGAGTCTTCCATCTTTGAGACGAAGCCCTTTGCTCAGCCCACACAAGGTCTTATCTTCTTCCTTTTGCTTTTCCTTTTATTTCTTTTTTAAAATGTTTTTTCATTTTTCCCTTTTATTGAAAATAGATTTTTTTCATACAGTATGCATCTTGATTACAGTCCCCTGCCTCTACTCCCTTCAGTTTGCCCACACCGCCACCCCCCCATCCACTCCCTTTCTGTCTCTATTAGAAAAGAACAGACTTCTAAGAGATACAACCAAACATGATAAAATAAAATATAATAATAAAACAAAAGCCATCGCATGGAGGCTGGACCGGGCAACCCAACCAAAGGAAAAGAGCCCCCCAGAACAGGTACAGGAATCAGAGACCCACTCATTCACACACTCAGGTCCATTAAAACACTAAGCTGAAAGCCGAGGACCTGGTGCAGACCCATGCTGGCCCTGTGCAGTCTTTGTGGGTTCCTATGATCCATCCTCAGTTAATTCAGGGGCCTTGTTCTGGTGTCCTCTATTCCCTCTGGCTTTTAACACTCTTTCTGCTTCCTCTTCCTCAGGTTCCCTGAGGTTTGAGGGGAGGGATTTGATGAAGACATCCCATTTAGGGCTTTGTATTCCAGTGCCTTGTCTCTCTGTATAATGTCTGGTTGTGGGTCTCTGCATCTGCTCCCTTCTGTTGCAGGAGGAAGTTTCTCTGATGACTGAATAAGGCACTGATCTATGAGTAAAGCAGAATATCACTAGGAGTCATTTT